CTGCAGAGATGGCTCAGCAATTAACAGTACTGGCTATTCTTGCAGAAGACCCGGGTTTGAATCCCAGCAACCACATGGCAGCTAACAACCATCCAAAACTCCAGTTCCAGGGGATCTGATGCCCTCTTCTGCCCTCCTTGGGCACTATGCCCTTACACACAGGCATACCACTCATACACATAAAATAAAAATAAAGTTTTGTTTTGTTTTTTGTTTTTGTCTTTTTGAGACAGGGTCTCCCTGTAGCCCCAGCTGTCCTGGAACTCACTATGTAGACCAGGCTGGCCTCGAACTCACAGGGATCTGCCTGCCTCTGCCTCCCAAGTGCTGGGATTAAAGGCGTGCGCCATCATGCCCGGCAAAAATAAATTTTAAAATAATTAAAAGTATATACTAATGCCAGGTATGGTGGCACGTGCCTTTAATCCAGCACTCCCAAGGCAGAGACTGGTGGATCTCTGTGGGATCAAGGTCAGTCTGGTCTACTGTAGGTAGTTCCAGGCCAGCTGGGGGGACAGAGAGACCCTGTCTCAAAACAAAGATAGACTAAGGCTGGAGAGATGGCTGGTTCCATGGTTAAGATCACTGGCTGCTCTTGCAGAGGATCTAGGATCAATTCCCAGAACCCACATGGTAGCTAAATGTCCTTAACTCCAGTTCCAGGATATCTGATGCCCTCTCCTGGCCCTGTGGGCACTGCACTCACAGGTGCATTTACATACATGCAGGCAAAACACTCATATACATAAAATAAAAATAAATCAAAAAGTTTTTTAAAATAGTTAATAGTTGCCAGTAGCTAAGAGAGAGCAACAAATGAACTGTTCAATGGATGTAGAGGATCAGGTTAGAGGATGAGAAAGTTCTACAGATGAAAGAGCCTCCTTATCCAAAAAAAAAAAAATCATTAACACTGTAAGATGTTATGATTACAAGCAGAGCACTTGCCTAGAAACTGTTAAGTCTCCAGATTTGACTTCCAGCATCACAAAGAAAAAATAATTGGCAGATATTGGTTTTATGCTTGGCATACATTAACAATATATTTTAAATACACAGTATAGTAGGAATCTGAAGAGAAGGGAAATTAAATACCTTCTAAATAAATGTTTATGAGCTAAATCTTAAAAGGCATTCTAAGAAAACTGTACTTAACTCTGCATTCCAAACTGGTTAGATGCTTAATGATATTTTTCCACACGTTAAATTCTTTTAATGCAAAGAAAGGATAGAAAATTAAAGTCATAATGTAAAAAGTATGGGAAGGGTAAGAATTTTTGTCCTAAATCTTATTTCCTAAGCAATCTATAAGCTTTCACACACAGTTACGGCAACATTTGCAATGATCTAAACAATTAAATGCATTTTTGTTTTAGAAATTCAACACCAATAAACAGGTTCAGTTAATCTAACCCTAATTTTGGAGTTGAGAAAACCAAAACTCACAAAATCAAAGTTACTTGCAAACTTTGACAGCAGGTCCACAATGACAGTCTAGAAAGTCTAATCAAGGGGCCAAATACTGCAATTCATTTCATAAATTTCAAGTCAGTAACTGAAATTAAAAGCCACTAACTCTAGTCATTGTTCCTGTGTGAGCACTAAAGATGAATCTAAATTTCAAGCTTTATTAACTGAAAATATATAAAACTTGTCCATTTAAGAAAACAGTCATAAGACCTGTTTCAGGAAGCACTCTAGCGCTGTTTTAAGTTATAAAATAAAGTTTAAATAGCTTAACTCTTCACTTGGTGAAAATTTTTCCTCTAACTTCCTCAAGAAGGCTATGCCCTGATAATGAGCATTATTTTTATTTTATTTTATGTGTATGAGTTCTTTGCCTGCATGTATGTAAATGCACCGTGTGCATGCAATATGCATGGAGACCAGAAGAGGACATCGGATTCCCTGGAACTGGAATTATTGTTACCCGTCATGTGGGTGCTGGTAACAGAACCCAGTTCCTTTGGGAAAGCAGATAGTGCTCTTAACTGCTCAGCCATTTCTCCAGCCCCATGAGCTTTACTGAAGGAAAAATAAGTCTGCCATGCTTATATCACATGACAGTCTGCAAACCACAGAAATCAAAGCTACAGCAAGTTGCTGTTCACATAATTAACATTTACATCACCTCCTGCGTATTAGTCAGAACTCATGCACTTGAATACACACAGACAATAAAAGAGCAACTACCCACTTAATCGGTATTCCATTTGTTTGATGAAAATTAAACAGGCGTCATGGCTTTTCTTTATCAAACTGCTTAAAACTGTATTTTTATTTGCTTCAATAATCAAGAAGGAACCCTTAGATGCACTTCTGACTTCAATTTCAACTTGAGAGATTCTGGAAAGCATCTACAGAAGCAAAGGGTGGACAAGTCTCAAACTAGATAAATGTTTTAGTAATAAAAATACTAACAAGGAAGTTGATGGGATTTTACCTTTTCACAATAAAATGTCTTGAAACCTTGGACAAAATGATTTTAAGTTTCTCCCACTTGACTTCATACTTGAAAATTATCTTGCAAACCAAATTAAAATCACATTATAATGCTGATACATCACACCTGTGCATTATAGAAATTTCTTTTTAAAGGGATTTTTTTTTTTTCTTCTGAGACAAGAGTCTGACTATGTTGCCCAGGTTGGCCTCCAGTTCCTGGGCCCAAGGGATCCTCCTGCTTCAGCCTCTTGAGTAGTTAGGACTATAGGCTTGGGCCTTCATGCCTACTCTTAAAGGAAAACTAAACACAAAGCACACATGTGGCTTACTTTCCACTGACACATGATAGGGAAGTGTACAGTAAGGACTACTTTCACTATATAGGAATTTCTTATTTGCAAGTTCATGAACAAGGGAACAGGGAGGAGCCTGGTAAATTCCCTATTCATTATCCTTTCTCTCCTACAGCTCCTTAATACTGATAGTACCACTACATAACTGGGGAAAGAAACAAAATGAGGAAAACCTCCCTAAGTCTAGTGATCAAGACCAATGAAGGCAAAAACCATGGCACCAGGAATCATAGTACAGACACAATGTAAGACACACCTTTTCATAATCTGTGTTTTTGCTATGTGTGTGCATGTTCATGCATGCAGCACGTGTGGAGATCACAGGAAAACTTTGGGTATGGATCTTGACCTTCACCTTGCTTAAGAAAGGGTGTCCTGTTCAGGACTGCATACACCAGCTAGCTAGCCTTGGACCGGAAGCCTTCAGGGATTCTCTGGCCTCCACCTCCCATCTTGCTCCAGCAGCACTGGATTAGAGTACAGGCATACTAAGGCACCTGGCTTTACAGTTTCCAGTGACCCGAACTCGAGTCCTCACACTTGTACAGCAAGTCATGTCCAAGCCATCTCCCCAGCCTTCTCAGTATCTTTTCTGAAACTTCATTAATGAATCATTAGATTAAAACTACACTGGTGTTTAAACCTTCTATTTCTAGGAATGCAAAGAATTCACAAATCCAATCAACACATAGAAAAGCAATGACAAAGTTCCATTTAAACAATTCAAACTTCTCACAAGCAGGGGCTATCTTCTCTGTATTTCACCACTTGATTTCACCTTTTTCAGAGAGTGCTTATGAAGCACAGCTTCTTATGTCAACAGATAAGAAAATGCCACAACAGGCCTGGTGAAATAGTGTGCAATCAGAATCCCAACACTCAGGAGGCAAGGCAGGAGAATGGCCAGCCTGGGCTAATGAGACAAAAAACAAAGATTACCACAACAGAGTTCCAACTAAAAAGCACTGTGATGAAACGCACAGCTATCTGTTGAGAGAAAATTTAACATTTAAATAGACACTGCACTATGTTATCCCTCAAAAGAGACTGTTCTTTTATTAGGTTGTTCTTCTATAACAGTAACGGTTCCCTTAATGGAATCCAGGGGAAGGAGAACTTGAGACTGCTGCCCAGTTGATGTGAAGGGTGTAAGCACCGTTAATAATACCTGCAAACAAGAGTAGCCTCCGGGGACAGGATTAGCCAGCTGCCTTACATTTCTGTTGATGCACAATGAACACTTAACAGTGGCACCAGATAAAAGACTTCTAAGAACCCTACATTGAGATACAGCTATTTCCAGTAAGTCAATTTCTAACCGCTCTTATTTTGATTACCAGCTGCTGAGCGCTGTGGGAGTTTACTGTGCCAGGGTCAAAAGAAAGATAAGTTTTGAAAAATGAGTTCTACTCTCAGCTTTCTCCCTGTAGGTTGTACGTGGAGCCCACCTAGCAGCTCAGAATTAGGGGATTAAAGAGGGTGGCGTTTGTAGCCATTCCGTAGTAACAGACCATTACAATTTCAGCTGAGAGATTCAGAAGTTATCAACCAAAGGGGAAGGAGAGAAAAAAAAAAAAAATCACAGGGTTAACAAGCGAACACTGATGGCCCTCAACTTGAAAACTTCCCAAATGCTAAGAGGTGGGGATATTCCAAACTCTATATCCACGATGAATCTTCTAGATTCATTACTGACTGCAAAGCTATCTAATTCTGTAATCGACCATCCTCACAAACTGAATGGCTACATCTGCAATATTCAGGCAACTGAACGCCACAATTCCAGCTTCTTCAAGCCACCCTGACACCTGCAGAGTCCAAGCAGAAAGCCCACCCAACGCCTCCTGCGGTCACAGAGCAGAGAATGGGGAAGGAGAGCGGCCCTCCGGGTTTCCGCTCAGCAGCTGCGGTCATTCGGCTAAATTCCCTTCCCTTTTCCGTCCGCGTAGGAGAATCCGCCAGGCGGAAAGAGGCACAGTGGTCACATGGGCGACGCGTGACTCCCACTGTCAATCAACGGCCGGGCGGGGAGGAAACAAGTTAGGACGCGCACCGGAGCAGGTGAGGCGGGCGCGCGGCGGACAGCGCGGAGGGGCTCTGGAGACTTTCCAAACCAAGTTCCCGTGGTGCCGGGACGGCCTGGACGACAGGCCGGAACCCCAGCCCCGAGCCCCGGGCGCCCCAACACCGAGCCCGCCACACCTGGGAGCTCCCGAGGCGGCGTCTTCACAGGCTCGGCGTCCCGACCTAGTCCAGAGACGCGCCGCGGTCTCAGCTCAGCGGAACCGAAGGTAGCGCGGCTTTGGAGGAACGCCGGCCCACCAGGCTTGTTGGCTCCCGACAGGCACGTGACCAGCGCGGGTCACGCCCCTAGACGGCACGCCCTCTGGTCACGCCCCCTTGACTACGGCCCGGCCCGTAACAGTCTGGAGAGGACCTGGTTGGGGGAATGCGGGCTTGGTCCTCGGCATCCGCAAGGACCGTACCTGCGCGCCCCTCCCACCCACGCCCCGAGGCTAAAGAAGCAGGGGATCCGACCTGGGAAGGATCGAGCCTGAGCTACATACTGTAGGTTAGTGCTGTGCAGACTGGATATTAGACATCACCCAGAAGTCCAGATTTTTTTTTTAATTTTGCTTTGGTCGTGACTCGACCCAGGTGAACTTAATTGAACTAAATTAGCTGCACCTTTTTCTTTTCACGCGTCTAAAGACGACGGTAAAATGTCATATGGGTGTAACGGTTAGAATATAGGTATGCTTGAAGGATGCATAGAATTAAGAATTTACAAATTTCCCTTTGCTTTTCCCCCACTAAATCTTTCATAAACAGTCCACCTTTTCATGGTAGAGTGACCGATTGGTGTAGAGTTACCACAGACCCTATAATGTCAAGGCTCAAACTCATAATTACAACTTTTTGAGAAAGATGTATGCATAACTCAAAAGACAGGAAATTACACATTAATTTTTCTACTTTTAATATTTTGAAAATAAACTTTCTGTTGCAATAAAAAAAGAATTAACAAGCATCATTTTAAAAGGACCTGTAGTTCTTTAACACCAGTCAAGTCTAGAAACCTGTACTGAGAACCTGTTACACACAAGTTGCTCATTAAACTGGGTGTGATACATCACACGTGTCTGCCAAATGTGACAGATCTTTAAGAATGATGTCTTTGGAGAACAGAAGCAGCCTTGCTTGAGTATTGCAGGCTGACATCTTTTCTTAATAAAACAGTGCTGACTGGCACCATGTTTCAATTATGAAATGTGTGGTAGTTAAGGCAGACCTGTTCCTCTGTTTTTTTTGTGGGTTTTTTGTTGTTTGTTTGTTTGCTAAGAATACTGAGCTTGCTGGGATGGTGGCACATGCCTTTAATCCCAGAATTTTGGGGGCAGGCAGATCTCTGTGAGTTGGAGGCCAGCATGGTCTCCATAGTGAATCTAGGCCAGCTGTGACTACAGGGAGACCCTGTCTCAAAAAGACCAAAATCATCATCATCATCATCATCATCATCATCATCATCATCTTGTGTAAACTTTTCCTGGGTAGATGCAAATGTCTACTCACCCGCAGGTAGGGCATCAACAGCAGACCAAAGAAACACTTCTACCACAGTCCATCATGGTGAACCCATGAGTTTATTGGGCTTACTTACAGAAGCATGGGTTAGGGATTACTTGCAGGAGTGTAGTGAACCCCCCCCCCCCCCAGAGCAGCCACATCACCAAAAAGTCTCACCCCAGCACAGATGACAACTTCCCTATAGCTGCATAGATGGACTTTCCCATTCAGTTAACCTCCCTCTCTGTGTACTCTAGCACCTCTGAAACCATGTACAGCAGAGGCAGAATTACATACAACTGGAAGATAAGTGTAGAAAAGAGAGGCTGGAATCTCAGATGAGAGTCTAAGGACCCTCTCCATCCCCTTCTGTGAGGAAATGTCAGCAGGCCTGATGTTGCAAAGGACCCAGGTTTGATTCCCAGCACCCACATGGTGGCTAACAACCATTTGTAACTCCAGGTCCAGGGGTTCCAACGCTCTTTTCTGATCTTTATGGGCACTGCACAACACGGGTGCACTTACATATATGCAGGCAATACAGTCATATGCATAAAATAAAAATAATAAGTATTTTTTTAAAAAGATGGTAATGGCTAAGCAAACTCGGTGGAACATAACTTTAATCCCAGCATTTGAATGCCTCAAAAAAACAAAAGATGTAATGACTGTTCAGAGGATACCATTCTACAACAGTCTTCATAGCCAAAATAACTATTGAAATATTGAAGTATTTTTTTCACAAGAACTTTCATTCTCATTGTGATTTTATTGCTTAAATTCGTGAGTCTCCCTTTACAACTCCCTTCTTCAGTTTGTAAACGGAAAATCCCTAGCCAATGGGAGAATGAAATCTTAATCATTACTTAATGGTTAATGGGGGTGGGACTGGAGAGATGGCTCAGCGGTTAAGAGTGTTTGCCACTCTTCCAGAGGACCTTAGTTATGTTCCCTGAACCTATGTCAGTTGGCTATAACCACCTGTAACTACATATCCAGGGCAACTGTTGTCTTCTTTTGGACTTCATGGGTACCTTCACTTACAAGTGCACGTAACCACAGATAGACACACATAGACCCATAATATTTTTATTATTTTTTATATGTATAAGTGTGTTGCCTGCATGTATGTAAGTGCACCTGTGTCGTGCAAGGTGCCTGCAGAGGTCAGAGAGGGCATTGAATCTTCTGGAACTGGAGTTACAGGTGGTTACATGGGTCCTCTCCAAGAGCAGCCAGTGCTCTTAATCACTGAGCCATCTCTCCAGTCCAGCATTTTCTTTTTACTTGTACAGATTTTTTTGTTGGTTTTTTTTTTTTTTTAGTGGTGGTGGCAGTGTTTTGTGTTTTGCCTTGTTTTGGGTTTTTTTGTTTTGTTTTATTTTTGAGACAGAGTCTCTCCGTAGCCCCAGCTGGACTGGAACTTACTATAGTAGACCAAGCTGGCCTGGATCTCACAAAATTCTGCTTGCCTCTACTTCCCGAGTGCTGAGATCAAAGGTATGCCATACCACGCATCTTTGTACAGGTTTTTAAAAACATAGTGATGAGACAGGAGGATCTCTATGAGTTTAAGACCAGTCTAGTCTACATAGTGAGTTTCAGGTCAGCTGGGGACTACAGGGAGACCTTGCTTCAAAAGGACAAAAAAAAAAAAAAAGTGATGATATAATAAAATTCATTATTCTAGAACACTGCTATCTTTTGGAGCGTTCTGTAATGATATTGTTCTATAATTCTATCTATCTTATCCAGTCAGGACCCACATGTAGCTATCAAACAGTTGGAATGTAGCTTGTGTAATGAATTTTTATTTTAACTTTAAACTTAAACAGCAGCATATGGCTTGCAGTTGCCATTCAGACAGTACAGCACTACAATTACAATCATGTTGTCCCCAGTTGTAGCATACCCTGTTTCAAGAAGCATTTGTAAAATGTAGAGCCTCTAGACCCAGTTAATAAGTGTATCATGTTCCTCTCTGAGCATAAGGGCCAGCAGGCATTTACCTTTCAGATGGAGCAGAACAGAGCAACTGTAATCCCTGTCTACAATGTGTGTAAGTAGGAATGGAAATACAACGCATGCAAGGAGGAATGTGGATATGAAATGGAAGCTCTGGAGTGATGGGAAAGGGATCAGAGAGTGGCTCCCGGTGACCATGCCATTCCCATGCTCACCTGACCTGGACCGAAAAAACCAGGGAACCTAAGAGCAGGTGGGCTCCATCAGAATTTTCCATTGCCTAGCTCAGGTAGGACTCACTTTGGATTATTTGGTTTCTCTCAGAACCCCTTAGAAGCCCATGCTTCATTACTATTTTCCCTCTCCCACGTCCGTATGAGTCCTTAGAGAATAGGAGTCTCCTCAGAACCCACTTCCTAAGGTCTGTGTCCCTTAAACACCCCAGAATGCACCTCATGTGTTGAATGTTTTGAAAGCATCCCCCTGGTGCCAATGTGACTTTGAAGTGCTGCAGGAAGCTGAAGGCTTAAAAGGAGGGCTTTAAGGAGACTGTGGAGAGGGCATTGAGTAATTACTGCCTGGAATGCTGAAAAGTAGGTCAGATGTCATCAGGCAAATCCAGATAAATTGTTGACTGGGGGGAAATTAACCATCCTGCTGTCTCATATTAAAGACTTTGTAGTAGTGTTAACTACAGACTACCAAAGCTATGAGGTCTTGTGGGAGGAGGCTTTCTTCCTTAGAATGTGTGGGTTTTTAAAGATCATTTGTACCATTAACCCCCAGTTTATTAAACAACTAAAAGGAGCTGCTGTTTTCAGATACTAAGTTCTTTGGATCTAGACTTGATTCTATACCTATGTCTTTTCCTAGGAGTTCCATCAGCCTGCCTTCCACCAAAGATTGATTTTGCTGGCTCTTAACATAAAAAATTTAATAAGGATGCCTATGTCTGTACACTTTTTTGATTACAATTAACAAGCGAAGACTGGCTAATGTAAGCAAATCAGGAATGTGCCTCACAGCCACCAAAGAAGCATCTAGCCTTGTGAGAGCTGGACTAGGGCACTTCTGGAGAGCTGAGAAAGAACTAGTCTACCCCTCTTCAGGATGGACTGCAGGCAAAAATACATTCCAATTAATTTGTATATATTTGTATTTTTTGTCTTCATAAGAGATAAATGAAAACAGGGAAGACTTTCGTGGTTTCCAGTAAGACCTAGGTCCCTTGGGCAGTATTTCTACTGTACATTTAGCCCTTCCTTTTATTCGTTATCAATACATCCTGCTTTTCCATCCATAATTGTCTGGTGAGGCAGTGTGCCTGACAGGACTAGTCCTTCTTAGAGCTCTCTGAAAGCCTGCTCTCCACACACCTCCATTGCTCTCATTTGTTTATTTTTGAGATTGGGTCACATAGCCCAGGCTGGCCTCCAATTAGTGAATATTGTACAGCTGAAGATGATCCTGAATTTATCTTCCTGCTCACACCTCCCCAGTGCTGAGATTATAAGCATGTGCTGCCATGCCCAGTTGATGTGGTACTAGGAATCGAACCCAGAGCTTTATGCATGCTAGGCACTACTCTGCCAACTGAGTTACTCCCTGAGCCCCATTGCCGCCTTAGTGGGATCTCTCTTGGCCCAGCCATGGAGCAGGATCAGGGCCTAGCTAAATAGTACCTTCCTATTAGCCTTTAAACAGATCTGGTAAATTCACTCTGTCCCACGGAAAAGCTCTCTGTTGTGTAGCAGTGAACCACTTAGGTTTTGCGCTTTGATATATTTGGCTG